GAATTGTTGAGAATTCCAAAGGTTTGTTTTCTCTGTGGTCCAATTTGCTCTGTTGACAAAGACAAAAGTGTGTGGTTAATATTACTAGAGAAGGTGCACACTTTTATTGATGGAACTGCTTTCATTTACTTGGTTTTGGAATACATGGGTTTACTTAGGGAAAATCCAGATGCAGATGATTAGATGAAAGGGAACACCACCAAAAACAATAGGATGAGACTAAATTTGTGGAGCCACCATAATATATCTGGGTATGTGGATCGCTATTTTCTCATAATGAGTAACAGGACCCGGAAACCCTTTAACATATGTTACATTCACAATGAATCAACTCACGGTTTTACTCATATCCTTTTTATGCTTTTATAAAACAAAATTTGGATCTGGTTCCAGCAATTTAGAAATGTTTTATGGCAACTGAGTCAAAGAATTTGGCAGGTTTTGCAGTTTGGAAGGCCACTGGAATGTTTTGAAAAAGCTGTACTAATGTCTTAGTAATAATGAGGTAAGAGTAATAAATTTTTCTTTGTTGAAAAAGGTAGGATTCTAATTTTTATTTGAATAGGTAGAGGATATTCACTGTCTAGGAGATTCCTATAGTTTTTGCCTTTCAAATGATAGATTCTCTGTAAGGAAGGAGTTGTCCATGAGGAACCTTCTGACTTTCTCTGTATTTGCATGGTCATAGATGGTTTGATTTGATATGAAGAAATGGACTGCCCAGTTTTGTTAATAGCTTTATTGAGATAAACTTGTTTAGAAATAATTGCAAAAATTTGTGGTCTCTTTCCTCATAAAATTACAAAAAACAGTTATAAATGCACACTGGTTTTCTACTATCAAGCTTAGTTTTCCAGGCAAGTAACAGACAATGTAGGATAGAGTTTTTATATTTAACATAAGGGCCAAAAAGGTACCTTATGCTCCTTGGAAATGATGAGAGTGTAATAAAATCAGAAAATCTCACCCCTCTTTCTTAAATATTTAAATGTCAATGTGAACCACCATGTCAAAATGTTTAATGTGGCCTACATGATTCTGGCATAAACAACATGATGTTTTTTTCTATTAAGTTTGCTGCCTAGCAAAATATGTGTGTGTTTTTTGGAAGTAAGCATTAACAATTCCCAACAAACAAAATCTTGTCAATGATGCTGCAGTTTTCCTGAAGGATTGAGATGAGGAATGAAAGAACACACAAGTGCAAAGGGTTAAGGAACTGGTTTCTTGCTGCCACAGTATTAAGTACTTTAGGAATATAGCTGGATCTTCTTGTAAATCAGAGTAAAGTAAGGAGTAAATGCATGGAAGTTAACAGAATACTATGTGGTTAAAATCAGTGTCTTCAAAGTGTTAGTGTATTTACTCCATTATGTCAACTAACATGGCACATGAGGGCCCATTTGTACAGGAATTGTTGGTTCATTTTGTTTCTGCAGAAGTGACATGGTCAGTGGTTTGGCTCTGGTGTCCTTCCCGAGAAGCAGGCTGTGTAAAGTGTTTGATGTGATGGTTGGAAGAGGCAGGTTGGCAGTCTGACCACTTCCATCAGTAATCAGAGGACTTCAGTGTATTGCAACACTTGTGAAAAGAAGGTTGTGCTGGAAGAACCTGAAGAGCCTGAGACTAAAATGTTGCAATCTAAACTTCCAGCCTCCCCTATCTGATTATTGAAGCCACTGGTTCCTGATTTACAGAGGAATCAAGCCTGAAAGCCACCAGGAACTCAGCAGGGTTATCCCATTTCTGGATCAGCTTACAGAGCTGGAGTTACACCCAGTTCTTGTCACTGAGGGTCACTCCTTGGCTCCCAGCAGAGAAACAATCCTTCTTTGGCTCTCTTAGACCTGGACACTGAACAAAAACCTTGAGATTTTGATTTTCTCATTAAGTGGTGTCTGTCTGATACACATGCCACTGGGACACATACAGGATGCCTTTGGGGTTTGGTACACCTTCCCATGTGCTACTGTGATTAAAATACTCTTGTAACACTGGTCTGCAGAGCAGGTGTCCCATCTGCCAGGGACAGCAGAGGCAGCAGGGGCCTGGGTTTCATGAGCAGTGAATGTGTAGGGGCACAATTATGCAATACAGAGAAGTGGTTTCTCATTGGGGTTTTTCTAAATTAATGGAACTCTTGGGAAAAACAATGTTTACTCAGCATATTTGTATTTTGCCATAAATTATTAATGCCCTCAGTCCAGTTATGATGATAAATTATTATTCAATATATTTAATAATATATTTAAATATTATTAAATTATTATTCACCATTTTGTACTCTTCTGTATCTTCACATTGTATAGGTAGCTTGTTTGTCACTGGAGCATTAAGAAGGGAATACATCTGGTAATAGCAAGACTTTCATAAATTTGAAACAAATCAGATTAGGGAAAACATTAAAGCAAACAATCTTAGACTATCTATTAGTGTTTAAAGAAAGCTCGATAACTTCAAAATGTGTCATTTGAAATATATATTAGTGATCGTAATCTCTTTATTTTTTGTTGTATTTTTAGTTTTGATTTCTCCACTTTTGGTGGCATAAAATTTGCAGTTATTTTAACTAGCACTCACATCATTAAACAATCTTTGCACGTTTTCTATTGTTGCAATTCATATTTACCAAATACTTTTTCTCTTAAAAGCCATTTACTCATAAGTTATTTACTTGTTTCAAGACAGAATGTGAAATAGTCTGTGTACTTTTAGGTAGATGCTGAAGAAAAAGAAAGGAAAGTTGGACCACACAGTCACCACTGGCATCTGTTAGGATTATTATCCTGTATAACAGCTTGCTTTAACCAATTATCTTTTTGATTGGCCACCAAGCCTTTCCTGGGCTTTTAAAATTTGACAGTTGAGTCAATCATGTAATTTCAAAGATTATACTAGAAATTTAGAATTGGATTACAATTTTATGTGTGTTTGACTTCATGGCAATTCTAATTTTTAGACTATTTAAACTAATAAATCTATTATTTAGTTCAGACAGATGCCAAATAAATGGCTTCTGCCAACCTGGTTAATTTTTTTCCCTTTTCCTCTCTGAAGACAAAGAGAAGTATTCTGTTGGTGTTTATTTGCAGGGACACAGTAATTGGATACATACATCTATTCATCTTTAGGTTATTAGTTGAAAATCAGCCAACTTCAAAGACATTAACATGACTGAGGCTAGTGTGAAATGAGCTAGAAGTCTTATCTACTTATTGATAGGCATCTATAGTAAAGTGCTTTTGCTGCAACTGATGCAGAAAATATGTCTGTAGTGGGCATAGTTAAGTATATAAATAACATACATTGTAACTTCCTAGGATGTAAAAAAGCTTTATTATCTAGAAAAAATTTTGTCTATATCATGTTTGAGGTCTTCTGGTGGAGAGAATATCTTTTGGAGTTTTCCCTTACATTATCGTGCTATGCCTGCTGGGCTTTTAGAAATAAGATTTCATTTTTCATGACAGAGATGTACTTCAGATGCAGCACAATAACCTTCAGTATAATTACAATGTCTGAGTGTGGGTGAAACCTTGAGGTGAATTAGCTTTGATCCAGAATGGAAGGGATGTAAGAGCTGAGTCTCTCCTAACATTAAGATAAATACTAGAGGTAGATGAGATTATATATGGAAAAAGCAATCTGAGCATGTAGTCCTGCAAGGAGTGGTACTGTCCTTGTAGCTATAGTAAAACCTCAGTTTGTTTCACACTGTTTTGCAATCTTCTGGGTATTAGTATAATGAAAATAGTAAAAGTGTTGTCAATATGTTGTAACTGTCATCAAAAAACTTGCTCTGCAGACATGGTGTTCTGCAGAAAGTTCTCTGTTTATAATTCAGTTAAATGAACTTTTATGTATTAAACTTAAAAACACCCCAGACATTTGCTGCTGTAGACGCAAAAAACCGTAGAATTAAATGTCTGTAGAAATTTAAGTCACTTCACAGGGTGGGATCTTCTACAGCCGTAGAACATCTCCCTGGAGTGTGGAGTATTTTCCTTTTGAGGAAAAGCTGAGGGAGCTGGGCCTGTTCAGCTTTGAGGGTAATGAAGGGAATATTAAAGGTACATACAAATATCTTAGGGGCAGGTGTCATGTTGATGGGGTCAGGCTCTTTTCAGTGATGCCCAGAGACAGGGTAGGAACAGGAACAGGAACAGACTGAAACACAGGAAGTTCCATCTAAATATGCGGAAAATCTTTTTGTTGAGCTTGAAAGAGGACTGGAACAGGTTGTGGTCTTCTCTGGAGATAGGTACAACCTGCCTGGATGCAGACCTGTGTAACCTATTCTAGGTGAAACTGCTTGAGCAGGGGGAGTTGGACTAGATCTCCAGAGGTCTCTTCCAACCCCATCCATTCTGTGACAGATGTTTGTGAGTCTTACATCACTTTTCAGCCACTAAGACTAAAAGAGATGGGGAAAAAGCTTCATGAAGAACATCAAGCTCTGTCTTCTTGAGTGAGGAGGAGCAGACAGGGTGATTGCAGAAAAGAAGGGGAATGAATCTGTCAGTATGTGTCCTGCTGCATTTGGATGAAAAAATGCCGTCCTGCCAGAATATGTACCAGCCTTCTGAGGACCCAAAAGAATGTCTGAATCTCTGAGTAGCTGAGTGCAGAAGGAGCACGTTCTGAAAAGAGTGACTAGTCACATGAATTCAGATTATTATGGCTCAGACTGGTGTATTTTGCTTTATAGAGCAAACCTTAACAACTAGTAAGGATGAAGGTTCTCCAGGTGTTATCTACCCTGCAGCAAGTCTCTCCCAAAATCTCTCAGATCTAATTCTATTACTACTTTGAAATTATTCTTAAATTATGCTTTTCACTCTGAGAAATTTTTTTTTTTTTTCTTTGTTTCCCTTAGCAGCTTCATCAATGACAAAAAAAAACAAACAAAAGCAAGCACTGGCCCTGCAGCACAGAGTGGTTCCAAGGCATGGCTGTGTCTTTGTGCATGAAGTGCTCAGAGGACCTGTAGGAGAGAAGCTCGGCTTCCAGCAGAGTTGTTTTGTTCCTCAGGAATTGCAACCTGTACCAACATCAGGTCTGTAGTTCCAGGAGACAGTAGGCTAATAGAAAAAAACACTAGCAGGAAGTATTTAATAAAAATCTAGAGGTCACTTCCATGGAGACAGCTCTGAATTTTCTATATCTTAATGTTAGCTAAGCATTCTCTTGAAATAAGAGTGACTTGTTGCATGTTTAAATGGGTTTGTACGTGATTAAACCCGACTATTGAAAGGTTGCATTTTCAACCTCAGAGTAAGACATCAGCAAGAACAAAAAAAGCAGTTGGAAATTGAGTTGCTTCAGAGTTGTTTTAAAATTAAAGTCAGCAGCCCTGAAGATTACAGCACCTGACTGGATTGTTTTACCAGGGAATTGGTTGGCTTCATGATGGATGCACCAGATCTAGCAGTTGTGCAGCTACAGGGTGAGATGGCTCTTACTCAAGGAAAAGGAATCCTTCCTTTTGCAGTCAGTCCAGGTGCACTGCACTGCTGAGTTTAGTCCTTGATGGAGGGAAAAGCCAGAAACCCACAGCAGAAAGTGGGGACAGAGCACCTCTGTCCTTTCCCAACAACCCACAGTCGCACTGGGATAGGAGCAAGGAATTGCATTTTCTAGCCAGCTGTGCCAGACAAGAAAGGACCCAAGGTAACTTTTGTGTTTGCTATTGGTTCTGCAGGTCTGTTCACAGTGACATTTCCCACATGTCTGAAAGCAAGAAGGTGTTTTAGGGCTGTTTCTTTTATTACAATTGTCTCTGATGTAACAGGGATTTTTTTTTGTATGAAACCATGTAAAAGTAGTACATTATGGCATTGACACTGTGTCCAAATTTGTGTTTTTGTATTATTTAGAAAATGTTCCAAGCCAAAGGCAAAATGCCCCAAATTAGCTTAGAAAAAATATAACTCAAAGAAACAATCGTCCCCTGGATAAAATCCAGCTCTGGAAACAGAGAGAATTAGATTGTCATCCGAACTGGCATGAGTTCCTGCGCAGCATTTGGCAGATTACTTAGGTCAGATTTTAGCTGTAGTGTTTATGATTAAGTGAAGAGGCTCTGTTTCCAAGCAGGTTAATATGCAGTGATATTTTAACTGATATTAGGGGCCAGTTCTCAAAAGTGCTGAACACTTTGAACTTTTGGGGATTTTAAAAATGAATCAACAAAATTCATGTTCAGAAAAGTATGTAAAATAATGGCTGTAAAGACACAGACTTAAGTGTCTTTCTATTTACAAAATTACTTTAAGGAATTCGAATGCCAAAAATTAATAAGCATTTGAAAGGAATGAAATACTTGGCTGTTAAAAAGGCACAAAAAAGACTAAAATAATAGCAGTGTTCATTTTTTACCCTCCAAAAATAAATACCTTGTGTTCATCATAAATACTACAATTGAGAAGATAGTGCAAGTTACAAAAGCTTTTATATACTTTATTTTGAATACAATTGAATTTATTTCTGCTTCAGAGTAAGGGTTGATAGGAGAAAAAAAAGAAATTTCCTATGACAGATGATTTTAATTTACTTCTAATAAATCTGACTTGTATTATACTCATTCTTCTGAGTTCTAATTGGAAACTCTCTGAGCAGAAAGTTCATTTTTCCTGAAAAGTCACACTTCCTCCTGGATGTGAATAATAACATGTATGTTTATTTAGTAATTTATTTTTTTTTAAAACTAAATAAAATACCTCCTTAAATACACTAGGCTGCCAAAAACTGGATATTTGCCAGTAATTTTCATGGTAAGTTTCCAGAGCATCTTTTTCTGACATAGAACACTGTGTTAATCTGAGGTGTAATAAAATGTTCTTGTACTTTTAAAGCATTAAAAAATGGTTCTGAATCACTGGCTATAAATGAGAGGACCTTCTGACTCTTATCTCAGTACCTCAGGCTGGTGGGACACTTGGATTTTTTTCTTGATAGAAGATTCTGAGCAGGTCTTTGGTTCTCAGAGGGGATCTCTCACTACCCCACATGGTATTTGTGCTTGGCATTTTGCACATCTTGCCTCTTGGTGTGGCAGTTTCTCATGGTCTTGGGGTGAAGAAAGAATGGTTGAGGAGGTGCATAGGAGCACTGGATCTTCATCATAGCATTTGATTCTTGCTGAGGAAATGGCCATTTAACCCTTCACAGCCATCAGAGCTGACCCTTGGCAGTGACCTGTGTGTTCCTACAAACTGCCTTTCTCTGGAGGCTCTCACAACTGCTCAGTTAACAGGAAAGTGATTTAAAACAGGGAAACTTCATAGTTCTGGGATGGGAGCTCCTTTGCTTCCTTCCTGCTGCTGTGGTGAAGCTGGTGGCTCTGGCACACAGTTCAGTATCTCTTCATGAAAATCACAGCTGGACAGCTGTACTCCCACCAGACTATTCCATTAATGTTCACCAAAATTATACTTTACCTGCTTTAATGTACCTAAACCCTACTATAAAGAAGACCTCTGTTTTCAGGAATACAGCATATTCTTGTACAATGCCAAAATAAATAGGGATAAAATAAATAAAATAAATTAGGAGATGGGGATGAAACAGAGATAATGAGGATTTTCTGCTGAGTGAATGTTTGGACTGTGAACTTTACAGGGGTTTGGACTGTGTATACACACTTGCGTTCTAAGGATGCTGATCTCAACACCAGTGCCCAGCAATAAATGAGATTTTGCAAAGAGAATAAACAAAATTTTGAGAAGACAGATGAGGTGGCAGCCTGTCCAAAGGCAAAAGGAAGCAGAGAGGCTCATTATGAGGTGCTGAATCTATAAGAAAACACGAAGATTCAATGCTCTTAGAAAACATTTAAATTAGAAAAGAATTTCGTAGAATTAAGTGAAATGCAAAATAATAAGCAAATAAATTATGACCCAGGCTATTCCTTGAACCCCACTTCACCCTTGACTTTTCTGCTGGTTCACTGGCACCAAGACATGCTCCAGTGTAGGGGCAGAAACAGGGACAATTCGTGATGATGGAATCAAATATTGTTGAGATCCTGCCAAAGCAGCTGTCTCCTGTCTGTCCATGTCTGAGTGCTCTGTTGCCAGAGATCCAGCTTTCTAACAAATGCACAAAAAAGCATGCCTCATCCCATTGTTTTGATCACCTTGGCACAACCAGACTTCTGAGAAATTCCTTAATAACCCCTGAGAAGCAGGTAACCCTGTCTGGTCTGTGTCCTACCCTGTGGACAGAATTATTAGCAAAGATACATTCTTTTCATCCTTGCTGATATTTTATATTTATACTTTGCATTTCCATTTTTCAAGTTTCTACCATTCATATTGTATCAGTTGTTTTCTTTGGATGTTGTTTACTCTCTTTAAAGTTCTTATGTCATTTAGCTTCATATTTTTTAAGTGGGAAAGAGTAGAAGATACATATTCATATGTTCATTTGAAAAACTTCACCATTACTTAGACCACCTAGAAGATTAAACCCTGCCAAGATACCAATGACCTGTCCTGTGTCCTTTACTCGAAGGAATATACTATAATGTATTTACAGGGTAAATAACAATTCTGTATTGTCTTATGCAGGGAAAGTGAGAAGTAACTGAACAAATTAGGCAGAAAGGTTGGATTGCTTGCTGGCAGACCTTTGGGATCATACTCTGCTTAGCTACATTACTTCTTGTCAAGGTTTCAGATTTCTGTAGGTGAAAAACCACTTAACAGTTGGATGGCATACACAAGAATTCTTATGTTGCTTTCATATGTGTGTTTTAAAAGACATAAACAATATTATTTTTATTTCTAATGACAAGGCGATAAAAAGCCCCAGAGGAGGTATCATTCACTTCAGTGCATCTCATGGGACCATGAAGAACCAGAAACATGTCTGCTTAGTCCTCTGGGATCTTTCTTCTAGTCCTCTAATTTTGGAGGAGCAGAGGTGTTGGGGCACAGTGTATTATCTCTCTTCTTCCTAGGCTTTCCATACAGGCTTTGTAGGCAGGGTTGTTGATTCTCCAAATAGGTTTCTGAGATGGTATTGATGCTCCTTGAGGCACAACTATTGCCCTGGTGTGTGACTGAGGCTTCTCTAGCTTACACTTGCATTGGTGCCCATCTCTAACTCTGCTCCAGTGTTTGCTGCCGTGCTCCTCAGCTGCAAATTCTGCAGCTCACAGCATATGAGTCTTGCAAGACACTCCCTGACAAAATGTTGTTTTCCAAGGTTGATATATATTCTGAAAAATGCCATCTGACTGTGATGATTGCCAAAGAGCAGCGTTTTTAAGGCACCGTTGTTGAACCTAAAATTCATGTCAAGAGCTCAATGAACCCTTTTCTTTTAGCTTTTAATTTGAAGCTCTGCTGACAGCAGTGCTCCATTGATCTGCATGGATCACTGAGCTGTGGCCTCACAGAGCAAGCCTGAGGAAACTGTTACCAGAACTCGAAAGAGTGATATTATTAGCTCACGATTTGCTACACTTAAATAGTGCTCCCAAAGGAGCTGGGTACTGGACTGTTTTCAGAATTCTGAATTCACCTCTGTTTTTGCCATTTACTTTAGTAGTGATCTTGGGCAATTGCTTTTCTCCAGAGTCACTTAGCTGTTACTCTTTTTACCTTAAAGAAAGATAATTGGTGTAAGGCTTGATGAGACTATGGAGCAAGAGCAATCCTCAAGTTCCACTTAGATGTTTGAAGCTGGGCTTGTATGCCTTGGTTTTTTTGTCTGTAGACGGAAGATACCAACACTCAAACCTGAAGCCTCCTAATCTGGGAGGTTTAATGAATATTCATGCAGTGCTCTGAAGACTAAGTGCCTAAGAATTTTCCAAATAATAATTACACCTGCTGACTTTTATTCCAAGCCCCCTTCCACCCTTGCTCTTTCATTATTTCATATAGTCTCTCAGGGCTGTGGAACTGAGACCATTGGAATTTTATAATGAACATTTCAGAGCTGTGCATGTGGTTTGCTTGAATATGATGATAATTTTCACCTATCATTTTTTTCTCTGTGTTCTTGTTTCAGGCTTTTAGGATGAGCTGTTAGAGTGTTATAGTTTCA